TGGAGGTTAAATACACTACCTTTGAATTCAATTGCCTAGTAAATAAAAGACTCTTGCAAAATTTTGCAAGATATAAGTACTTCCTGCTGCAAATTTTGTTTTAAGGTGTGATAAAGTGCTTGAAAATGTATGAAAGTTATATCAAATAATCGCACTTCTTATAATTTATTTCCTTATATCCTTAAAACACATGACAAATTTCAATACATATCACTTATCTAGTTTGTCATGCTATCTGCAAAAGTGAAAATCTGACCCAATATTAATTTCATATCAATATAAATTGTGATTCTATACCACCAAAAGCATGTACTCGATGGAAGATAAGTAGTGGACTGCAAAAGTCTTAATCAAAAGATTTGGATATTTATGTTATAAAAAATCACTTAATTAAATTTTCTTCAAACATTTCTATATCTATTTATGATATTACTGTGAAGAATTTGGTGCTAGTGGATTGAAAACTATCAATCAGCGAATGAATGGCCTCACCTTTATTATTAGAAGGTTTCTCTTAATACAATGGTTTGTGTTTTATAATCTAATATAATATCAAGTCTATAAAATATTGTTTTGTACTACTAATTACAATTTCGTTTTTAACATCTAAGTTCAGTTATTATATATTAAGTTTTTATATCCAATTGAACAAGAAGAATGGTATTGGAAAACAAGAAAAATATGAAAGAGCAATGAACAAAATTAGTTCCATAACCTGCACACACCATTTTTTCCCGTGCCTGTTCTTGACTTCTTCCAACTTCACTAACCTGCACACACCATTTTTTCTTGCTTTTATTTTTTTAGTACATTGATGGTTAACTCCTTAGTGAAACAAAGGTTTAAATCTTTACTTTCAATTTAAAATTAAAAATTTTAAATTAATAGGTATCAATTTAGTCAAATTCTTGTTGACCTAGCTTTTATTAGCATCATCAGCATCATTGACCTTGTATTAGACTAATTTGGTAAGTATATCTAATCAACGGCAATGGATTTTCCCAGTTGTTTGACCAAAGTTGGTATCGTGCTGCCAGCACCGTTGATCAGTCATAAGTAATTGAGGTCAATAAATCATGTCCATAACATGTAACTAAACACATCCATTTGCCCAAATACAGCCGAATATATTTGGTTTTGGAATAATTAATTTGGCTCAAATGTAACAGAACCCAGCAATAGGATTGGATATGGATGCATCCCACCCGTCAGATTTTTTCGATTCCAGCAGTGGGATGATCGAACCGTTTCGTGACGTGTCTCAATGAAATTGCCACATCATATGACACGTCAGAGGTGCTGATCCAGATAAGAAAGAGAGTAGATTCTCAGAGCTTCGCTTGTGTCAGGGCCGTCACGAATCGTCACTCTAGAGAAGCCACCACTTAGGGGTGCCAATTTCGTTTCTCGAGAAGTTTTGTAAGAATTTTATTGTAAGAGAAAAAATTTAAAGAAAATTTTTATAAAGTAGAGATAGAGGAAATTTTTTCTTGAAAAATTTTAA